CTGGACTGCTTTGGTTATATTCGTGGTGGGGTTTATATCCCCCCTCCTTCAACTAATTAGATCATGCCAGAAAGTAGCACCTCTCAAGTTGGGATCACTTCAGGGGTAGAGGCCGCTGGGATCACTTCGGGGATAAAGGCAGCTGGCGTCGAGTTCGAGGCTGAGATACGGGAAATAATGCATAATGATGGTCCAGAGTGAAGAGCCGGAATGTCGGTTTACTTTGTAATTTGCTGCTTTTTTGCTTTCAGATTACTTTAAGAATCTCTTCTTGCTTTTAGACTTCTTTAACTGTTAATGGGAATTTGGCTTTATGCCTTTGTTGATGTACTCTGGTATTTGTTGTTTGACTAGCTTCTTTTTGTAAGGATGTTAGGGAATTAAGGACGTCCCCCTAATTTCCCGCCTTAACTTGCTAGGTTAGCATGCCTCCCTTGCTCATTTTGGCAAGGTTGGTTGCAATGCTTTCGTTTTGACATATACGCGTGGTTTGCCTTTAGGCTAGACGAGTACAAATGCCCAACGTTAGTTGCCGGCTAGAACTCCAATCTTGCCCTTAGGCAGGAGGGTTTGAACACCTCGACGTTATTGGCCGGGCTAGAACTGAGTCTTGCCCGTAGGCAAGAGGGTTCAAATACCTCGACGTTATTGGTCGGGCTAGAACTCCAGTCTTGCCCTTAGGCAAGAGGGTTCAAATACCTCGACGTTATTGGTCGGGCTAGAACTCCAGTCTTGCCCTTAGGCAAGAGGGTTCAAATACCTCATATTTAATCTCGGAAATGAACTTATGAAAAATATACTTGATTTATTCAATTTATTGAACTTGAAATTTGAACTACAATTTATGAGCGAGAACTTTTCAACTAAAATATTTCTTCAATTTGTCCACATTGCAAGTCCTTTTGACCTGCTTCCCCTGTGGGGTTTCCAACACATAAGCTCCTTTTGATAATTTTGCTTTAATTTTGTTTGGTCCTTCCCATCTTGGAGCCAATTTTCCTTCAGTTGCGTTTCGTCCTCCGATATTTGCCCTTCGAAGAACCAGCTCTCCCATAGCAAATGACTGAGTTCATTAAAGATGAAAAATGGCAAAAATACCTTTTTGTTTAATCGGTTTGCCACGAGCTGCTTTGCCGCAACATTTTTGCAATGAGCAGTGACCCGAGCTTCATCTATCAAATCCAGCTCCACAACTATTTTTTTACTGTTTTCTTTTTCGTTTTGTGATAAAGCTTGGTCCCTTCACGGTTCTCCTAACTCCACCAGGATCATGGCCTCGGAACCGTAGGTTAACCTGAACGGGCTTTCTCCGGTAGAAGTTCGCCATGTGGCCGTGGGTTCGTTTCTCATAGACGGCGCCAATGTTCTGCCTTGTGCAGATGTGTCCGACCGTAGGTCGGGTGTTTGATATTGGATCTGTAGCTTTCTCTCTAGATACCTATGAATTAGGTATCTTGGGGACAGAGAATCACTACACACTATATGATGACCTTTAGTGGCGGATCCAGGAAATTAATGAAAGGTGGGCACTCAAAAGTTCAAGTACATATAGATTTGGATTTGGTCTGAAACGCGACTTGCGAGCAGCTGCCGGCTGGCTGGGTCTGGTTGAGATCTAGATCTGGACGGATCGTGACTCAACTAGACCCATGATGGACGAAGAAGCAAATGTTCCAACTTCCAATAACGGAGATTGAGGTTTGAGAGGAGATGAATCAGTATGTAGATGCAAATGATGGGTCTGGAATAGAGCTCTCTGCTGTTAGGTTTGTGAAGATGGAGGAGGAAAAAAAACTCACGGAAAAATAAAATAGAAGGAGGAAAATTAAAGGGGTAAAATATCGTAACAACTATATAGGGTTACTACCAATCAATTTCATCGTTAGATCGCCTATGTTGATCCAACGATTATATTTATTTCTATCTTTGTATGGTTATGATCCCCATATTTAATGTCATATTTAATGTAAAAGCATTAAATATGGAAAATCATAAGGTGAAAATAAATATAAAGTATTAAATATGAGGAATCATAACCATACAAATATGAAAATAAATATAACTGTTGGATCAACATAATAGATCTAATGGTGAAATTGATTGGTAGTAATATTGGTAGTAACCCTAATTGATTGTTACAATATTCTATCTCAAAATTAAATTGGAAAAAATTGAATTTTAAGAGAAGGGTATTTTTGTATTTTTGCATCATATTTCAAGGGTGGACACTTGCCCCCCTTCTCCTTAACCTACATCCGCCTCTGATGACCTTAGCCAAAAGGGGTGTGTGTGTGCACTGTCGTGTTTGAATGAAATAGGATTAGAGAGGTCAGTCATACATGTGGTCTTTAGCTCTTATTTATAGAATTTACCTTTGGACTTGTGCTGGTTGAGTCTCTTGCTGGCATGGGCCTTTCCCAGGTCCATAACAGATTCCATGTAATATCAAAAAAAAAAAAAAAGGAGAAATATAAAAAATAGTTGAAGTTAAGTAGCTGGTCGTGATTCGTGAACGAGCATTTCTTAACACTGTTGGTAGTTGGGCAGCGTAGGAAGTATGACTTTTATGGGTTGAAATTTGATGAACATACAAAAAAAAAATGGCATTTTATATTACTGTTATAAATAGATCTCCTCTAAAATTACTTGTAAATTTGTAGTATATGATTTACAAATATATAATTAAAGCACACGATTTGAATTCACAATCAACTTGGAGAGCACATGGCAATTAATTCTAATTAATATAACGAGGACTAAATAAAGATTATGTAGCCTTAAGCTTTTAAAATGCGCATCGATCCAACGTTATTCGACCAGAAATTCTTGACTAACAAGCTTGCGAGAATTTAAAAATGGAGTTTGGACAATCTATGCTATTTGCATCATGTGCACAATGCATCCATAACAACCATACATTGGCTTAGTTACAAAGTTTCCCCAATAAACCCTCTCATTCTTTAAGTAGAATTTATGATATTTTGACTATTAATTATCCTTGCACCATACGGTTTTGAATTTGAACCTTTTATTAGGAGTTGCGACTTTTGTTGGCTACTTTAATTCTGTGTATATCTTAACCAAGTACCGAGGTTCAAAATATAAGCAAAGTAAATACCCAAATATGAGCAAATAAAATGTATTGACGTTTAAAGCAAATAAAAATACTCAATATTTCTGGAAAAAAATTTAGCCTAACAAATATCTTTTTTTGTAACTTGTTCGAGATAAAAAAAATTCTATTATATTCTCAGTAACTTTTTTTTTTCCTAATAAAAAAAATATTTCCTATATCAAACACTACCTTAAAGTATTAATTTGAAATAAATAATTAAAATGAGATAATTTCTTGATTGGAATTCTGATTGAACAATCATGTTTTGATAGACTGATGAATATGATTATGCCCTCGCCGGACAAGTATAACTTTACATTGCCATTTGCATCAAGGACCACACAATTCCTCTTGTTAACGAAAGACAGATATGAATGACATGAGTACCTTTTTCCTCTTCACTCTTGGTAAATATCAAATTGTAGCCATTTCTTTCGTTATATATATATATATATATATAGAGGTAGGATCCTTTGACACCAGAGAGCTGTTAGATCAAAAAAGATCAACGACTATTATTTGCAAACATGTGACACCGTTGATCTTTTTCGATCTAACGGCTCTCAGATGAGGTGTCAAAGGATCCTGCCTCTATATATATACCTCATCTGAGAGCCGTTAGATTAAAAAAAATCAATGGTGTCACATGCTTACAAATCAGAAGCGTTGATTTTTTTTTTAATCTAACGGCTCTCAGATGAGATGTCAAACTTTTTTTTTGACACCGGTGTCAAAGGATCCTGCCTCATATATATATATAGGCTTATCGTTTCTCAAGTTGCTTGAGATAATCTTATCTCTGGCTAGTAAATCGTAACCGTACAAAGATAAATCAATGGTGATAAAAGAAGAGAGAGAAAGGAAATCATAACCATTTAAAGGTGAATCAATTAATATAAGGAAATAAATAAATAAAATGACATAGTTTTGGGGTAGCCGGAGATAAACTTATATCAAGCTGCTTGAGAAATATTTTTCTATCTATATATATATATATATATATATATATATATATATATATATGGGTCATGATCATTTTACACCGGTGTAAGACTCTCAATCTTGTCTGCTGATTCCACTTATATCTAAGGGTTCAAATTTGTTAGTAATATGAGTCATTGAATACAAGTGGATCAATTGTCAAGATTAAGTGTATGACTTCTAACTCTTATACCAGACCAGTGTAAGAATATCCTGCCCCTATATATATATATGGGGTAGGATCCTTTGACACCAATGTCAAATTTGAAATTTGATATCTCATTTGAGAGCCATTAAATCAAAAAAGATCAACGACTCTTATTTGTAAGCATGTGACACCATTGATCTTTTTTGATTTAACGACTCTCAGTTGAGGTGTCAAACTCCAAATTTGACACCAGTGTCAAAGAATCTTACAGAATCCTTTGACATCAATGTCAAATTTTAAGTGTTGATTTTGGCCCATAAATAATAATAATTTCTGCCAATTAAATTTATAAATTAATTATTAATTTTTAATAAATGATAATCATTAATTTACGAAAATCAACTGTTAAGAATTGATAACAAATTTCAGATAATATACATGACCTAAATAAGAGACAATCTCTAATATTTATAAACTATTTCATAAAATACATAAAACTCAAAATTGAATTTTATAAAATAAAAAGTACTCATATATCACATGACCTTAATAAGTCGAATAATACTATTCTAAGAAAAGTTACAACTCAGGAAAAGATGAGGAAAGATGCGAAAAGAAGAATGGTGAGATGAGAAAGACAGAAAAAACCGAAAGAGAAAAGAAAATTGAAGCACGTTCAAAGAAGAGAGAGAAGAATCATTAAACTATGATATGAAGACACAAGACAAGTGATAAAAAAAAATAAGAGAGAGCATTTTTGCCTACTGTCAAGCACTTTGCAACCCAAGAACAAAAGGGTTTTCTCTCTCTCTCTCTCTCTCTTCACATTACCCTTTAGGGCTTCTCTCTCATTGGAACACAGATTCAGAATCCAAGCTCCCCCATTCTCATTCTCTTCTTTTAAACACACTTACCTCATTCTATTTCAACTCGGTGGGTCAACTCAGCTCTTCTTATCTCCGACAACGCCGTTTCCCCCGAGTGAGTTTTACCTCGTCCTCTCTCTTACTTTGTCCCCTCAAAACCCTTTCTTTTTTGTATTTTGTTCCGTTTTATTTTCGATTGCCTAGTGCAATCTCGTGTCTTTCTAGTTTGGTGTGAGTTTTGGTGAAGTTAGCGATGCAAAATTTTCAATGTTCGCTTCCGGGTTAATCTGAACACCAGTTTTAGATGATTCCGATGGAAAATAGCAACAAATAAGGGGAACAAATAAAAGAAAAGAAAAAACCTGATCTTGATCAGTTTACACACTGTTATTTGAGCGTGTGATAAGGGTTTTTGGAATTTGAATGGCTGGTTCTGGGAATGGTAATGTTGATAGTAGGGTTGATAATTTGATTAGTGCTAGGAAGTCATTGAAGCTTAGCCTAGAGAAATCAAAGTCATTGGGGTTGGCTTTAGAGAAAGCAGGGCCAAGATTGGAGGAGATTAGGCACAGGTTGCCTTCACTTGAATCTGCTGTTAGGCCCATTCTAGCGGAGAAGGATGCACTTGTGGCCGTTGGTGGCCACATCAATCGAGCCGTTGGCCCGGCCGCCGCCGTGCTTAAGGTTTTTGATGCTGTTCATGGCCTTGAGAAGTCACTCTTGTCCGATCCAAGAAACGACCTCTTTGGCTACTTGTCCGTGTTGAAGCGCCTTGAAGAGGCGCTGAGGTTCTTGGGAGACAACTGTGGCTTAGCAATTCAATGGTTGGAGGATATAGTGGAGTACTTGGAGGATAACTCTGTTGCAGATCAAATGTATCTCTCGAATTTGAAGAAGGCGTTGAAGAGTCTTCGGGAATCACAAACCGGCGAGCTGGATGGCGGGCTCTTAGAAGCTGCGTTTGATAAATTGGAGAATGAGTTCAGGCAGCTCTTGACGGAAAACAGCGTGCCTCTTCCTATGTTGTCGTCGTCTTCCCTTGATGATCAAGCGTGCATTGCCCCTTCGCCTTTGCCGGTGTCTGTTATTCAAAAGTTGCAACTTATTCTTGGTAGATTAGTAGCTAATGATAGACTTGACAGGTGCATATCAATTTATGTTGAAGTCCGTAGTTCTAATGTGAGAGCGAGTTTACAGGCTCTCAATTTGGATTACCTAGAGATCTCGGTTTCCGAATTCAATGATGTGCAGAGCATAGAGGGGTATATAGCTCAGTGGGGAAAGCATTTAGAGTTTGCAGTGAAACACTTGTTTGAGGCTGAGTATAAGCTTTGTAGTGATGTGTTTGAGAAGATTGGATTGGATGTTCGGATGGGTTGCTTTTCAAAGATAGCTGCACAGGCCGGTATACTTGCATTTCTTCAATTTGGGATGACTGTTTCAGAGAGTAAGAAAGATCCCATTAAACTTTTAAAGTTGTTGGATATTTTTGCATCTTTGAACAAATTGAGACTGGATTTTAACCGACTTTTTGGCGGAGCAGCATGTGTTGAAATCCAGAATTTGACAAGGGATCTTATTAAAAGAGTGATTGAGGGGGCAGCAGAGATTTTCTGGGAACTTCTGGTTCAGGTAGAGATACAGAGGAAGAACCCACCCCCTCAAGATGGCAATGTCCCAAGATTGGTGAGCTTTATCGCTGATTACTGTAACAAACTCCTAGGAGAGGATTACAAGCCAATATTGACTCAAGTTCTGATCATTCATCGAAGTTGGAAGCGTCAAAGCTTTCAGGAGGGACTCCTTGTTAATGAGCTTTTAAACATAATGAAAGCTGTGGAATTAAATTTGGAGACTTGGATCAAGGCATATGATGATCCTATGCTGTCCAACTTTTTTGCTATGAACAATCACTGGCATCTGTACAAGCACTTGAAAGGGACAAAACTTGGGGATCTTTTGGGGGATTCTTGGTTAAGAGAACATGATCAATATAAGGACTATTACTCTGCAATCTTTTTGCGAGACAGCTGGGGAAAGCTTCCTGGACATTTGAGTAGAGAAGGGCTGATTCTTTTCTCAGGAGGGCGTGCCACTGCTCGTGATCTGGTCAAGAAAAGGTTGAAAAAGTTCAATGAAGTTTTCGATGAGATGTATACAAAGCAGTCAGGTTGGATCATGCCGGAAAGAGATCTGAGAGAGAAGACATGTCAGCTTATAGTGCAAGCTGTGGTGCCTGTTTACCGGAGTTATATGCAGAATTATGGTCCCTTGGTTGAGCAAGATGATAGCTCCACAAAATATGCAAAATACACGGTGCAGAAGCTGGAGGAAATGCTTTTATGTCTTTATCGGCCAAAGCCTGTACGACATGGCAGTTTGATAGGTAGGCAGTTTAGTGCAAAATATGGCAATGGAATACCCGATCTTCGTCGAACAGCCTCTGCAGTTGTGTAATTCCCTAATTCTATATTTTCTAAAGATCTCATCATTGATAATCTCTCCCAACTCGTCAAATGGATGGATACTGTATATAATTTTCCTGAGCCCTGCAGTGCATAATATAGGCGTTACTTGGATTATGTGAAGGAACTTTCTGAGCACTACCGTTCAAATATCTGATGCATTTCCATGAAAGTGAAGTTTTGTTTCTCTTCTGAGGTGAAAAACTGGCTATTATCTTCCCCTTCCCCCCACAGAGGTTTCTGCAAAAACTATGCCATCTCTAAAGAGTACTGTAAGTTATGTGCTTTTGATTAATAAGTATGGACCTTTCCAATGAGGTTCATTGGTCATACTCCCAACTAAAGTAATTTTTTTCAATCTTTATTTTTATCCATGCAGTTGTTTGTAGCAGCAAGATCGTTGTAATATGCAGACTTTATGTACAATTTTTAGTATGCATGGATTTAGAAGTCTACATTAACAGAACATTTAGTCATTAATATCGTAGGGGGTGAAGTTGCTAATTGTAAATGCAGAAACCCTTTTAAAGGATGCCTTTTCCAAAATAAAACTTGTGTATTTTGGCAATGAATCTAAGGTGTGGCTCAGGAAAATAGGTTATTTTCAATAGTCTTTCTGCACTGGTTGCATCTTGAGTTCGTTAAGTTCCCCCTTCCTCTTTGTAGATTAAAATGCTAGGTGACAGTTGTATTTTCTCCTTATGCTATATTTTTCATCAGATAAGATTTTGCGTCTGGCCTGTTATGAAATTTTTGGTTTTGAGAGCAATTTAACCGTGTGAAACCAAAGGCCATGCTTGCTGCTGACAAGTGATAAAGAACGCAAGAAACCGAGCTAGTGCGTCTTCCAGTTTGAGTTCTAGTTATGACATTGATTATAGCAATTTTCTTAGAGGTGTCTTGCTATATGTTTTGTCTCCAAGGAAAAAAGTATCTGTAAAACGAGTGTTTTTGGAATTTGCACAGTAAAGATGTATTTTTTTTTTCTTATTTCAGATTAAGTCAAAAACATATGCTTTTTACTTGTACACTTTGCAAACAATCCACTCTAGAGGAGCCTATTCTTGTTTTTAAAGTGAGTTAGAAAGAGTGTATGGGTCAGGTTATTGGCACTTTATGGTTGTTCGCACTACACGAGTACGGATGTATTTTTCCTTTAATTTTAGTGGCTTAAGATCATGAATATATCTTCCATAAAGTTTTTGATATTGCTTAACACTGAAAAAACTGAGCCATGTCTAAAGGCTCCTGTTGAACATGAGCAACAATAATTTTAGTTCTAAAAAAAAAATCCATTTCTAAAACACTATGGAACACGGACAAGTTTAACGCTCCTAGAGATGATGAATAACAGAAAGGGAGAAATAAATTAAAAACATATATCATTAAAGCGGCAGAGGATGATACGTGGAAGAATGTCAACACTTCCATTCGGGGAGAAATGTACAATCACCTAACATTACAAAGAAACTAGCCTATAAACTTTTCGACTATTCAATCTCCAAACTTGGTTCATGGATTCAAAACTTGAAAATGAACTCATGGATTAAATCATAGCAAGTAACAACCCAAACAAACGAGGGTTGCTAGCACCCAAACACAAAACGGAGAAGAAAAAAGAGAGCTTGAAAACCTACAAAGAAATTCACAATTTAAAACACCATTAAACCCAAAGTTTTGAAATCCAGCTTTGTGAAGACGGTGAAAAGCAATATATCCATATGACAAAAGCAAACACATACATGGGCACATCACACATACACACTGGAAAGTAGAATTAGTATTATTATGTATAGCAAGTGAAACTGTGATGGAAAAGCAAAAACAACTACTAAAAGGGGTTCTGGAATTGTGAGCTGAACTATATCTACTTTAGCTGAAGAATCTATACTTTTAATTCCCCATCAGCCCCTTTCAGAAACTCTCGCCACAACACAGCTGGTTAGAAGAGAAAGAAATAAAAAAGTGGTTTTTTATTTTATTTATTTTTTTTAATTTAAGTGGCTTTGGTTTAACTTTGCTAGGAACTGAGGAAATATACCAAATTGAAGTAACGTAGTGGTGGAAGAAATAGGGAGAGATAATTATGGTAAGAAAAGAGTTATTCATTCTAAGGCTTGTCAACCTCAACCAAATGCACGCTTGCAGTTCTTTGAATCTAAACTTGAGTTATCTCAAAAAATTGAGACATGATAGATAAAGGATGTTGTTTAACTTTTTCCTTTTTTTTTTTTTGGTAATTAACTTTTGTCTTTAACTCATACAAATGTAATTCTTTGAATCCAAACTGAAATATCTTAAAGCATATAGGATTGTATAGGGACATATAAACACCAAAACACTTAAACAGAGAACATTGAGCTGTGGTTATTTTTTATCCTGATACCAAAATTCGTTTTTGGTCCACATGGATATCGAAGTACTGCAGCATCAGTTCATCCAAATTAGCATAGATCCTCCAAATGCAATTAAACTATCCATAATACCCCTAGTTCAAATTTGTGCTACTCAATCTTATAAATAGTTATGATAATAAGTATCACTTTTAAAAAGGAAAGGTGTATTTGCACACAAAATAGAGGTCTGCATACTTAACAAATTGACCGAGGATCTTTAAAAAAAAAAAATTAAAAAAAAAAATGGGGGAGAGAGAGAAAGCAAGAGTGAAATGAACCATCTATATAAAACTTGTTTATGCATATAATAACATTGTTTAAAAACTGAGACACAAACCTAAAACACAAATTTCATAAGGACTAAACTAAGTAATATATTTATAAAGACAAAAATACAGTTAACCCTTAAGTATAGTGGTATCAAATAAAAGGCACAAAGTTAGGCAACGAGAATTTGCTTACTGGTTTATTTCTTGTGACGTCATTAAATTTTGAACTGCTATTGCAAGTTATAATGGATTCTCACTCGAAGCTTTATAAAAGCAAATAAAAAGGAATAAAAAGCCCGTAATAGTTAATGGACTTTGATTTTCTCATATGAGAATTGAATTATCATGTTATGACTCAATTAGTTATGGATATCACATTTATTAAAAAAAGGAATGAAAAAAAAAAAATTATAAACAAATTAAAGAGTCACAACATAAGAAAATATTTATCAGGTAACATATGATATGGATCACACACCAACATTCCTATTGTCATGCATTCACCGATGATCATTATATAAGATTCAAGCCTATATAAAGCATCAAAAACAGATAACTTCATTCATGATATAAAGGAAAATTAACACAGCGAATTGTTCAAAACATAATAAATTGACTAAAATCCATCTAACCCTAACTACTTAAAGAACTAGCCGGACATAGCAAAATCAAGAACAAAAGAAAATAGAAAAGCTCCCCCAAACTCTATAGATAATTGGTGGATCTTCAATATCTCCAGTGAACACTTGACGTTGATCCGTCTCCGCCGCTCACGAACATGAATCTGATGTTCCTCCGCGTTCCTTCAGCCTCCAAGCACCCAAAAGTTGTTTTGCAATGTAAAAGTTATGTATTTCTGGTCCCCAATGGTGTTTAAATAGGTCAAGAGTTCGTATCTCGATGAAACACCTTGAATGGGCCTAAGTTGGGTTTCTGGGGCACTTAAGCTTCCATTGGCAGAGACTATTTGCTTGTTTAGGAGGCTTAAGCTTCATGATGGAGGCTTAAGCTTCCTCTCTAACAACTTGATAAGATCTCAAATCTATCTTGTTTTTTATCTTCCTCTATCATCTCTTGATCTCATCTTTTCTAGTTGTGATCTCTATCTATCCAATCATCATCTTTGACTCATTTTGTCAACAAATCCCTAAAAAATAGCAAAGATGATTCAATTAAACAAAAATTCAGATAATGTTCATGATTATTATATTAAACCCTAGTTTTTGACTTATTTAACTTGATATTTTATATTAATTTAGTCTATAAAATAAGATAAACTAAGGTTTATCAAACAATTCCCAGATTTGAACATTGCTGTCCTCAGCAATTAATTAGAATAAAACTATGGGAAAGTTTGGAGACGGCTAGTCATGCTTAATGAATAACAGACAGAAAACTGATCAATAATGAGATATCAAAGTATTCAGATTTATTAAAAATCAATGACACATCAATTTCAAGCAAACAGTCATAAAATCATAACATGCGTTCTCAAAAGAAAGAGTAGTACCATTTAATTTCCACAACACCCTCTCACTGGATTTTTATTTATTCACTCATACTCAGTGTTTAAGGGTGTGTGTTTCACTCTTACTTCACTGCATTAACACTACCATAGGCTTGTTTATATTCTCACTCTTCACAGTGTAATTGGTATACAAGGTTAATCAAGAGGTCTTTGATAAGGTTGTAACGTGGCTTAGGTAAAAGGAAAGGAATTATCTAGGTAAGTGGCTTAAGATTACTGATCAAAATTCAATTTTAAAGAGTAACTTTAATATGACTTTTCAACATTTCTCTTATTTTTCTCCTCTTTTCTTCTTCCACTTATTCATAAACTAGAAACTTTTTATTTCTTTTCTTTTTTTCCTTTTGTTTTTCTTTTTCTGTTTTTGTACAGATACACATTTCAACCTTTTTCTTTTCTTTTCTTTTCTTTTCCACCACTTTTTGGCTTTTCCTCTTTTCACCTTTTCTTCCACACACTAGAGTTTGAATTTCTTTCTTTTTGTTTCAATCATATCTAGTCCCTTATTTAAAAATGAAATTTAATCAGCTCAGGTGAGGATGTATCTGGAATGGCTATTCACAATAAGCTGTCAATGAATAAATAGGCCAGGCTCAAAGGGTTTAATCATAGGATAACATTCAGGGTGGCTATTTGGCTATCTAGCTTTTTTTTAAAAAAAAACTGCCTCTATCATTTCAACAATTATATACCACAAACCATCTCAAGGAGAAACAAAACAAGTTCTAGAGTGATTCATACGGTGAAGTTCACACCACAAAAAAAATAATTTCTTTTTAGGCTCAATAGCTCCCGGCTAAGGGTGTGAGGTTTATTTTTCCAACTTGTTGCTACTCACGGCAAGTGCACCGATCGTACAAGTAATATACTGATTAAGTAAGAGATCGTTCCCACGAGGATTACGGTTCAAGCACTAATTCACTATCGCAAACTTAGTTGGACAATCGAAGTTGTATTCAGAAACAGGATTTGAATTGCAAAATTAAAATATTAAATATTAAAGCTAATTACTTGCAAGAATTAAAGACAAGAAATTAAAGATGTGATTTAACTAATAAAATAAAAACGTAGCTAGGGGTTCGATTTCATTTAATCTCCTTATTACGTTTGAATTCCTTCTTAATGTTAATTGTCCTTAGTATCAATCTAATCAATTCTTTCGCATGTTATTAGAGCTCAATCCCTTGTTACTCTAAAACCTTTACAATATTGGAAGAACCCTAGTTCCCCGGTTATTCCCCAAGCATGCAAGCATTAAATTCAAGAATCTTAAAG